AGCAGGAATACCTCAGTGATGAAGACTAGGTGTTATGAAAGAAATTTGTAATATGCAAAGCAAACTGAGGAGTAATTAGAGCAGAAAACATTAGGGAAGCCCTAAATCTCATAGTTTAGCCATTTAAAATGTCAATAAGCCTGTTTCCTCCTCTTTGCAATATAGTGGTGATGACTATAAGCAAATGTCAGTTGGCCTACATTTTGAGGTTTGCTAGTGTTCTGGCTGAACAGACTGTGCTGTGTGTGTGTGTGTGTGTGTGTGTGTGTGAGAGAGAGAGAGAGAGAGAGAAAGAAAGATAGGATTTAGTTGTTTAACTACAGCCATTTAAAAAAATTATTTTAATGAAAGATGGGGGAGGGTGAGATAGGTATTTTTGACAGTTTCTTGCTCTGTTGCTATTCTTCTCCTCCAGCCTCCCTGCTAACTAGGATTACAGGTGTGTGTTACTCTACTCAGCTATATGCGCTGGTCCGGGAACCAAATCCAGATAGGCCCCAGCCTATCTCAATGGCACCCAACCACTTGCACTACCTTGGCTGCGCCTAAGTCATTAACATTTCACATAAATTTTTTAAATTACAGCAAACCCTCTAGAGAACTTAATTTTAAATTCTGACTTTACGCAGCTGAACAAATCAGTTTCTCTTTTACTGTGATTAAAAACTACGTTAAAAGGATAAAACAGGTATTTGTATCTTAATAAAAATACTGAACATTCAACAAGTAGAATGTATACTCTATTTAAAAATTTACAAAAACAAAGCAAATTAAGAAAGAAGTTCAAGTGACTAACAACTCTAAATGTGTCCTGCTCATACTCACTTCTAGAAACATAACTTTAACCATTCACATTATTTAAAAAAAACTAAAACAATGGAAATCAGTGGGTGGCATAACGGTTACATCACTAGACTCCCACGTAGTCAACCATCATTCATGTTCCAGACTGGGCGATTTGAAACACACAAGGCAGATGTGCATGCGTGCCTAAAATTCTGAGAGGAGAATAGAGGAGAAGGGATTGCAGCATGGCCATCTTCCCTGGGGAGTGATTTCTCACTTTCTGTCGCTCTGTCTCTTCTGCATGTGCATGCACCCTATAGCAAAATCTCTTAAAAAAAAAAAAAAAGAAGAACAACCAGTATTGCTGTCTGCATGTGTGAGGGTTCACAAATTAAGCATCAGAGAAGTTATGCCATCAGCACATCAAACAGGAATAAAGAGCTGGATGCTCAGACTTTCAATATTCTGAGATATAAAATTGTAGACTTTGTATAGCAGAACTAAACAAGCAGTAATAATGAAATAATCTAAAAAAACAAACCTAGGTGCTGACTACTATTTTGAGATGAGTGCCAGAAATTGGGCAACAATAGCACCACCTATCACAAAAGCAGTAAACTCAGTAAACTACGAGAAAAGAAGGAAAAAGTGGAGTTTTAAATTCTCTTGTATAAAATATTGAATGAATCCATTTTTTTTTTTTGGAGAAGTTTTCGTTATAGGGCGCGTGTGCTCGCCAGACAGACAGAGAGAGACGGAGAGACAGAAAGCGAGAAATCACCCCCCAGAGGGGATGGCCACGCCGCAATCCCTTCTCCTCCATTCTCCTCTCGGGATCTTGGGCACGCACGCACACATGCCCGGCGTGAGTTTTAAGCCACCAGGTCCGGGACGCGACCCGCGGTCAACTACGTGGGAGTCCAGCGACATAGCCATTACGCTAACTGCTGGTTCCCTGAATGAATCCATTTTAGGGGTAACCCTCGTTAGCTATATCTTACAGAAGGCACAGAATAGAATGCAAAGATTAGTTAAGCAAAGTCCCTATTATTCCAAAGAATTAACACTAAAATAGAGAAAGTCTAACATACAGGGAAATTTACCACAAATTTTATGAAAATCAGTGCATGGCAAAGAAACAACTATTCCTGACAATGAGAAATAAGGAAAATGGGCTGCTTCCACAGGCTGGAGGTTACAGCCGTCAGATCCCACAGGGCCAACTGCACAGAACAAGTCTCAAATCCAGTGACTTGAGAAACACGCTAGGCATGTGTGCAGACGCACTAAAATTCCAACAGGATGAGGCAATGGATGAGAAGGGACTGTGGCCTGACCATTTCCCATGAGAGGTGCTTTCTTCCTCCCTCACCTCCCCGATCCCCTCCCCCCTGTAGTGAAAGTACCCTCTGGCAAAATTTGTAAAAAGGAAAAAAAGATGAAGGAAATGTAAAAGAAAAATAAGACAAATAACAAAAAATTTAAATGTTCAAGGAGTCATGATTTTAAATTAGACATATGCAATACAGAAGGATGTTCTTAGTATAAAACTGAGGACAAAACTTTTTTTTTTGAGAGACTTTTACTGTAGGATGTGTTCGCTAGCCAGAAAGATTAAGAGACAGAGAGACAGAAGCGAGAAATCACCCCTCATGGGGGATGGTCACACCACAATCCCTTCTCCTCTGTTCTCCTCTCAGAATTTTGAGCATGCACACTAATGCATACAGCGTGAATTTCAAGCTGCCAGGTCTAGAACTCAAACCACGGCCAATCAAGCGATGTAACCATTATGCCATCTACTAGTTCCAAAATTCATTTTTTCCAAGAATTATTTAATTTTATTTATTCATTAATTTATTTTAATTTAACCAGAGAGAGAGACACACAGAGAGAGAGGGAAAGTGAGAAAGCAAGCCACCAGGTCCAGGACTCAAAAGAGAGGGACACAGCAGAGTCCTTTAGTAATAAAGTTTTTCTTGCTTCCAACCACCAAAAATGAGAACTAGCTATTCCAAAAACTTTCTAGAAATCAAGGACCTAGAATCTTCTTTGTCAACATCAAAACAAATGGCAAGTGAAAAGGAAGCAGGAAAGAGGCAGAGAGAAAGAAGAGAGGGTGTGTGTGTGTGTGTGTGTGTGTGTGAGAGAGAGAGAGAGATTTTTTTCTAAAATGCGTATGTCCTCAGTAGCTGAGGAGCAGGGAGAAAGAAAACTGCCACGTGACTGCAGAATATTGTTGCCGTGTTACCTCTAACCTTCCCTTCTCATGTAAGCAGATTTAATCACTAAATTAATCCCTCAAATTACTTATGCACAATCACACTGTCCTAGGTTTTAGTAAACATCATTCTCACCAATTTAGAGAATATAGAGAATTAGCAGCTAAAAAAAAGTCTCATAAGTAAGATTTTCCACTTCAAGATAATCTTTAAAAATATAATGGAATTAAAATACTTTAAACTCCTTTTTTAAAACCCATTTTAAAGTATCCACAAATGATTAATATGATTATGTTTTACTGGGCATAAAAATACATTGAGTGAACACACAGGCAAATTAATGAGAAAATACAACCTTTTCAAAACTCTAGTTATTAAAAAACTGGAGTTACTTAGCCATCCAAACAGCACATTTAGCATAAATAAATATAGACCATTTTAAGTAAATATAAAATACATATACTATTTAAACACAACATGGAGAAGTATTCACTATTAAAGGAGAGCTGCAAGGTTAAAAGGCTGAAACTCCTCTTCTGACGGAGCTGGAGAAGCAGACAGCAGAGTCATCTACAACGGAGATAACAGTGAAAACCAAGCTCTCCCCGGCAGTGAGTATCACTGAGAAGAAGGGCAAAAGCAGGAGAACAGAGGCTGGAGGAATCCCCAGAAGAAAGCCACGCCAGAAACGTAACAAAGGCAGCATAGTCAGCAAGGAAGGGCTCTGTGAAGAACTGTGCCATGAAATCCAAGAGAGAAGAGGGCTTCAAGAAAGAGCCAGCAAAGGCAGAGGCTAAATCGAGATCAAAGAGGGTGAAGATAAATCAAAACCACAGCAGAAAGTGAATGGCCATATTGAATTGGTTAAGATTACCTATTTCCATCTCAACTGACAGAACTAAGAGTTTATCTTGTGAGGAGGAGGGGAGAGGGAATGGACACTTGGAGGAAAACAGACTTCAGTTATCATTCTTGCTGTCTGTTGTTCAAGACCAACAAAAGAGAAACTCTGAATGATTTGCTTTTTCTTAAGGGCTACACTCACCAAACTGTGGAGCAGGCAAGATCCTAGCCGCTCGAATTGGGCCATGTCGAACAGAAAAGAGCTCCTGTGCTTCCCCACTGATCTGCATCAGAGAAGACAGAAAAAAAAAAAAAAACAGTAAATAAATACACAAGTCACATTATTATACAAAAACAAGATCTCCTAAATTTTATAGTTTTTGTCTGAAATATATACATATATACACATATATCTGCTATTTCATGTATAAATACATGCACATACCCACATATATTTACAATTGGTCATACACATTAAATATATTCATATCTTACATTATCACAGCATTTGCATTTTAAAAATTTTATTTATTCATTTGTTTTTTATTTTAATTTGATCAAAGAGACACACACAGACACACAGAGAGAGAGAAAGACAGAGAGAGAGAGAGAGAGAAAGTGAGAAAGCAAGCAGCCAGGTCTGGGAGTTGAACCGTGGTCAGCCTGGTGGGAGTGTCCAGGGCCTTAACCACCACACCACCCGCTGGTCCCAGCATTTGTATTATAGAAAGTTATATGAGAACACATTTGAGGGACCAGAGGGTGGTATGGTGGTTAAGGCACTGGACCCCCCACACAGGCGATCACGAGTCAAGTCCCAGACCTAGTAGCTTAAAATCATGTCGAGCGTGTGTGTGTGTGTGCGTGCGCAAAATCCCAATAATGGATTACTGCAGGACCATCCCCCCAGGGGGTTGATTTCTCACTTTCTCTGTCTCTGTCTCTCTCTGGCAAGTGCATACACTCTAAGACAAAAAAATCTAAAAAAAATAAAAATAAAAATAAATAAGTACACATGTAATATGAACAGAGTAAAAGGGATGTGTCAGTATGTATCAAGAGTGAAAATAACTGCTCTTTACTGACTGAAGTAGTGAGTAGTTCCAAGTTAATTCTCTTTTTTTTTTTTTTGAGAGAGAGAGATTATTGCTATAGGGCACATGTGTTCTCTGGAAAGAAAGAAAGAAAAAAAGCGAGAAATCACCCCCCGAGGGAATGGCCATGCCTCAGTCTCTTCACCTCTAGTCTCCTCTTGGGCACACATGCACATGTGCTCAGCATAAGTTTCAACTTGCCAGGTCGGGGACTCAAACCGCAGTCAACTACATCCAAGTCAAGCAACGTAACCATTACGTCATCTGCTGGTCACTCCATGTTAATTCTTAACTTAGAATTCATTAAGAACAACTTGAGAGACTTACTGTAAGTGGTAAAGTACTTCTCAATATATTTTCATAATTGTCTATTGTTTCGGAGAATATGTAATATCAAAAAAAGGCAATTTTAAGTACTTCTCAATATATTTTCATAATTGTCAACTGTTTCAGAGAATATGTAATATCAAAAAAAGGCAAATATTTTTTACTTTTAAACATTTTTAATTATTTAATTTAATTTAATCTGACCAGAGAGGACCAGAGAGAGATCTGAGGAAGAAAGAAATCAATCCGCCAAGTCCAGGACTTGCACTGCAGTTGGCCATGTGGGAGTTCAGCGGCCTTAACTACCATGCCATCTGCAGGCCCCAAAATGGCAAATATTCAACAGATGTAAAATTTAAAAATTCAATAAACACACTGAAGTACTTTTTAATAGGCCTGCCAAATAAGTAGTTTAAAATATATACATTATCGCAGTTGGCAGGTAGTGTGGTGGTTAAAGGCGCTGGACTTCTACATGGCCAACCACAGTTCGAATCCCAGACCTGATGGCTTCCTTTCTCACTTTCTCTCTCTCTCTCTCGCTCGCTCAAATTTCTCAATTTCCCTCTCTCTCTGGTCAAATTTTAAAAAGTAAAAATAAATGAATAAATAAAGATAAATAAAATAATTCTTAAAAATACATATATACATTGTAAAAAAGGTACATACATCTTCAACTATTAAGCTATAAACTATAAATCTGCAGAACTGCCCATTAGATTTTTTGATAATCAGATTCTCTTTTATCTGAATTTAAGAACTGCAAACTATAAATATTTTTGTCTCATAAATATTATGTTATGGTAATGCCTAAGTAGCCATCATTTATTTTGCTTACGACAATTATTACAACTTATTTACTGGTTGCATTGGGATACAGACGATGTGAAGAATGCTAAGACTAACTGTGCAACAATAGCACCACCTATCACAAAAGCAGTAAACTCAGTAAACTACGAGAACTTATCTGCTCTACAAATCACTTTGTGGCCTTTAATTTTCACAATAAAAACCATGACCGTTATATACTTCAGCTCTTAAATCCTACGTTTTATTATTTTATTATTACAGAACAGAATATAAAAGTTATAAAATGCCTTGAAAAGTTTTTGTTTTGTTCAACACCCCAACCAATGCAATAATCTTACATTCTCTGAAACCTAAAAATGACAATCTTTTCCTTTTAAGCACACATATGCTAAAAGGTTTAACACTAATATAATCTAATTATAACACAGATACATTATTGGTTATTTCCAGCTACCAAGTTCTTAAAATCTTAACAGTATCCAAAAATATTTTGTAAACTGGCAAGTCGTTTACATCTTAAAAAAAAAAAAAAAAAAAAAACTGGTAAGCATCCGAGAAATAATTCTACAATATATATACTTTTATTTAAAAAATGAATAAGTTTTAATATGTTGTAATACTACAGTACTTAGACTGAAATTATAATTATGAAAAACACTTCTCACAAAGTTTACGCCTATAACAAATTACAGTATTCTAACAAAAAAATCTACTACACTGCAAGATATGCCTAAGTTAGCATTTAGCTTTTGATTCTATCAAATGAACCCTTAACGCTAACAATAACCTTATTAACTAAGCCGCTGTACACAATTACATGAAATAATGAGGATGATATAATCTCTCCTGGTATATTCACAATATGGTAAATGTTTGTTATAACATATTTATTGAATAATACAGTGTACTTTAATACAGCATATTTGACATACAAAAATATTTGAAAATCTGAATATACCATACTTTCCTGCAAAACAGCTTTCTAAAAAAAACTAAATGCCCTAACTTTTTGTTCTAAATTGTTCTGTATAGGTTTGGCAACAAGTGAGAAAAAACATTAGGGTTGATTATAAAATACATCCTCACATTCATTGCCCAGTCTTCATCATCCCTAAATTAAGATCCTAGAATTTTTGTTTAATTATAATGGGGTAGGATGGGCAAGGAGAGGTGTGTTACATTTATATTTAGTTGTGAATATATTAAAATCTCAATTATAAAACCTACTGAAATTAGAAACATAATTCCAAACTATCCACATGAGTCACAAATGTCAATCTTCTAAGAAGAGAGAAACTCTCCAAGCAGGAGATGAGAATTTTTTAAGTCAGAATATCATTTTCAGAACAGAAACAGAGCTAACAAAGTATATGCAGGCAGGATGTGTACACTTTAGAAGAATACACAGAAGATGGACATGTCCTTACGGATTCTGCTTTAGCTGCCACTATGAATTACCTCTGATAATCACTTGGCTTTCAAATAAATGAGTGTCAAATTGTTTTTTTCTAAAAAGCTGTCAAAGGTGATCTTTAGATTTCTTAAACAGTTTATTGAAAGTGATAAATAATTTCAGACATGAGGATTTTATAGGCCCTGACAAAATTCTAAGGAGCTGTATACTTTTTAATCACCCATAAAGTACCAGAGTAGAACTACGGTAAAGAGTGCACCAAGCAGAGTTCCAGCTTCCTGGCAACTGTGGTAACTTGGGGAGAGGAGTAAACAGGGAGGAAACTTCTCCAAGAGCTCCTCATGGTCTCTGCCTTTGTTCTTACTGGCATTTTAATTTCTGATGACAGACTTTTGTTGTTTGGGGCATAAACCGGACGTACCAGTTTGGAGGCACAATAAGGAGAACAAAGAATGATTTGTTCACACTGTAGGGAA